AAAATAAAAATAATTTTAATTTACACATCGAATTTGCATATTTCAAGTTTTCAGTAGAAACAGCAAAACAGTTGTATTTAAACAGGCTTAGCAACAGTAATTTCTGATTGCAAATAACTGCAATCTGATCTCTTACGGTTTCTCTTCATATTTTTTTCAAGTGTAATTGTCAGACACTTCCAATAAGAGATGCATCTCTTCTAAATTGTTCTCCTGCCCTGAAAAGTGATTTGATAAAAATGGCACTGGGGGCTCCAGATTCATTATCTCACTGATTTTCCTACCCAATGAGCTCAGTTTGCAAGTAAATTTCTAACTGCCAGCTGCACAAACTCAGCCTGAATCCTGGATCCCTTCCATCTCATGCATCACCACCAGTAATAAATATCCCGTATGCCAGAGTATGCCCTCTATGGCATCTGTGCAGTCCCAGTGCCATCCGTGAATTTGCACAGGTGTTGCTGGGGGCAGACGTTCAGCTCAATTGGGTTACGCACAAGTGGCTGAGGAAGCGATCTGTCAGACAGAACTGCTCCTGCTGCAGTGATCTGTGGGATGAGAGGGACCCAGTCTGACTCGCAGAGCCTGGGAGATGGATTAGTCTCACAAATAAGGAATTATCACATCTTGAAAGCAAAAACCCTAAAGGAGTCGCAGTGAACGTGGAATATCCCAGCACGATTTGCTGTGCCATTTCTTAGAGCCTGAATGGTCCTGTAGCATATGTAATACTCAAGGAAAACGTTTGAAGGTCTTTTGATGTGTTTTTTCGTTGTTTTGGTTTTTTTTGGTTTGTTTTTTTTTGTTTTGTTTTTTGGTTTTTTTTGTTTTTTTTTTTTTTGTTTGTTTGTTTGTTTTTTAATAGGTCGCACTCGGAGATGAGGATGACATTATTAAAAGCGCTAATATGTTTTAAAATATCTCCCCGTTTAAGATCAACGGGCTGTGAAGAAACGGCCCATCCATGTTGCCCCAGAGGAGCAGTGCTGTTTCCCAACCGTGTTTTAGCAGGTGATTGCCGAACAACAGCCTACTTTAGGATGCTAGACTCTAACACCCCGAGTCAATCCCAGCCCTATACAACTTATCCGGTGAGAATCTGGTTGCTAACTGCTGAATTTGTAGGTCCCGGATTGTTTCAGCTTGAAGACAAAACACACAATTTCCTTCCCGGGATATCTTTGTTGATTACGTTTTAAAAACAATGGTCGAAGTGGAAGGCCAGATTCTGCACTCTGCACCAGCCTGCCAGAGAACCATCCTCACCACAGGTCTCTGCTGCAAGTGACAAAATAAACATTTTGTCACACACAAAAGAACCAAGGTTAAATATATCTGGATACCTTAATCTGTATTTAGGTGTTAATGTAAATTGAGTTTATTTAGATTTTGACCGGGCTGGTAATCTCAGATGATCACTCCATTTCAGCTGAGTACACTTCTCCCCTCTTCTGAAACTCAGCTGTTACACCTGGCAGTTCTGGGTGACTACATCCCTTCATTTTCAAAGCAGAGTCTGTATGGAAACCACAGCCCTTCACAATTTCAGTTTCAGGAGCATTGGGGTAGCAGCTAAAAGGGCAGGAAAGGATTCCATCTCAGGTGTAACACCTCTGTTCAGAATTCCTCACTTTTCTTATAAAGGCAAAACTCTTGACATTGTAATTCTGTTTTCCTGCACCCTGAATATACAGTTTGTGATTCCACCCACTTCCTTCACCCTGCAGAAAGTGACTATGCTTTCTTCACACTTCTCTCAAAGTCATCTTGGGTTCCCCAGACAAAAATCCACAGCACATTTCAAAATAAGCATGAAACAAAAAGTGCTGCACCTGTAACGCTATTTGTCTTCAGACAGAGTACAGTAAAAATCCTGGCTTTTTTCATTTACTCTCCTCATTTGGTTGTCAGAGCCTTGAACAGTGTTAAGTCTGTTACCTGTCTCATAGAAACATTAATCCCTTCTCTTTTTCAAGCATCATTTGGGGCAGAGGTAAGCACATAAGGCCACATTCAAAAGGCCTATGCATCTGCACAATGTATTTTCTTCTGCCCATCTACCAGCCTTGTCAACTTCTACTCTGAGAGACCTCAGTGCTTTTATCAACATGATACATTCACACCTCTCCTCAAAATGGAGCACTAGGGAAGATGATTATTCATTTGAATTTCAAAAGAATTAGTGGGGTGTTAACAGCTCCACCCCAACAGGGAAATACACCTATACTCTTACTAAACTGTTTTTAGAGCAGGAAATTATTTCATTTTAACACTAGTATCTACTAATTTGTGCACATCTTTTAACTAGATTTTTGAAATCAAGATTTTTTTTTTCTTGAGAGTAGCTGTCATTTATTGGTCTGCTTTCAGCTACATTATCTTCCCAGTACTATCCTTCAAAATAAAACAAACAAACAAAAAGTCAGAAAGTAACACTAACAAGCATGAGGAAACAGTAATGCTATTCATATTTAAAAGATTGCTATGAGGAAAAACTGAAATGCTGCCAACATGCTTCAGAATATGAGATATACTAGAAAAAGAGAAAAACAGGATTTATGGAAGTTATGTGAGGTCCATGGTATTGATACACTTCCTTACAGGGACACAAATGAAGGAGAAGAAACATCCCAGACAAAGTGCTGTAATGACATTATGAAGGAGATGGGACTGTCCTGGATTCAGTCCACACTGAAGCTTTATTAAAAGTGATCTCTCCTCATCTTAGTGCGTTAAATGTCAAATTGTGTCACCCTGGAGGAAGAAGTCCTTACCATCTAAATGAATCTTATCATTATTGATAACACCATCACAAGTCTCATTAATATTGACTACATAGTTTCCATAGGAATAGGTTGATTTTTTTTTTTTTTCTAAAATATTTTACAGCTCTCAGAAAGTGCTAGTTTGAAAAAAAAGAAGAAAAAAAAAAAGCAGAATTTGATGAAATTATATCGTTCTTATTCTTTTCACAGGGAATCAAGGGAACACTCCACTTTCATCAGCTCAACTTTTACACAATTAAGTGACGTAATGAAGTCTCACCCATAGGGTGGGAAAGCAACAACAAGTTAAAATCTTCTGGTCTGTTTCATTTTGCAAACCTACACCAAAGTCTCCTTTTATTTCTAATTGGATTTACAGCGCATGTAAATCCATGGAAATTCATTGATAATCTGAATACTGGCATTTACAGAAAAAGCACTACAAGGAAATGATCATCTAAGACTCTTGGTACCCCAGTAACATTTAGGTAACAGCATCTCAGCAGCAGAGAGCTGTCCTCCCTGGAGGCAGGCAGCCAGCTACATGTCTCCTGGGACCATTGCCTACATCATCATTTGAGAAGCCTGTTCTTACTCTGAAGCTCCTGTCACACCGATGGCCGTACATTGTGCCCCATCCGAGCAGTCCCAAACTGGCCATGCACTGCCAGCAGCCCTCCCAGATGGACCACAGCTGCGCCATCATCCCAAGCACTCCCAAAGGTGCTGCACCCTCTCCTCACACAGCATGCCTAAATAATAATATCTCACAACAGGCTGAGAGTCCTGCCACACAATTTTTTTCCGTTTTACCTCCTACATCCCTAAGGATAAGCATTATTACAGGGCTACACTGTAACACTAGATACAGTCACAGAAGGAGAGGTGGCATCAAGACTCTGAGGAGAAATCTCTCCAGGGTGTCCTCATGGTGAGGTAGAGCAGTATTTTTCACACCCATCTTTCGAAGGAACCTTCTTGAGTGATGCCCTTCCCCTTCCCTCAGCAGGACACGACACCTTATATCTGCCTCTTAAGGCATAGTAACCACGATGTATCCACAAAGATAAAAGGCAAATGATCTTTTTTGTCCTTCCTTTAACCGCACCAGTCACATCACAGCCCGGTGATATCACGGTCACATCATCCAAATACATTCATTTCGTTGTGGTTTGAGGAAAACGCACCGCTATGCTAACTGAAGGCTGATTTAGCACGGGGCTGTAGCCCCGTTAGTAGCAGTTCGGTGCGTGCTGTCAGCAGGGCCCGTCCCGTGCCCGCCAACACGCCTGCGCCCAGCCAGCAGCCCTCACAGAACTTACTAAACTTCTGCCTTGCTGATAACCGCGAGCGGTAGCTTGGAAAACGCAACGGTACCCGCAGCACAGGATGCAAACTCGCTTCCATCACAGGTTTTGCAAAGCGAGATGCCCACAGACGAGCACACCGCCCGTTCTGGATCTCACAGGTTCGGTGGTGGAGCTGCAGAGAGCGGACCGGGGGCGGGTGCGATCTCTGGGGGCCGCGGGTGGGGGGCGGGCGGCGGACCCCGGCCGGGCGGACAGGAGGGAGGGCGGCAGCGGCGAGGTGCAACGGCTGCGGAGCTACAGCTCCCCCTGCCGCTGCCGCTGCGCGGGGCTCCGCGGCTTCCTAAGAGGAGCCGCCAACGCCGCCGTCGCCAACCCTTCCCCGCGGGACGGCAACCGGCAGCTGAAGGCCGAGGGCAGCAGGCGCGGCCCCCCGGGGCCGGGGGAGCAGGAAGGGGCCGGAGAGAGAGCGACGAAGCCGGGAGCCGGGCCCCTTCCCCCACCGCCTCCCGCACAGGGGGGTGTGTCAGCACGGCGAGAGAGGGGGATGGGGAGGAGGGGAGCTGATAAAGGCGGTGGGCTGGGCGACGGGCGGGGCCACGCGCAGCCATTGGCCGTTGCGGGGAGTGATGTCACCCATATGAAACGCTGATAACGCGTCGGGTGCGGAGCCGCGAGTTTTGCAGAAGGGGCAGCGCGCGCGGCGGGGCTAGGCGGGCCGGCGGCGAGGCCGGGGCAGAGCGCGGCGCCCAGCACAGCCCAGCCGCGCCCAGCCCCAGCCCGGCCGTGCCGAGCCGTGCTGCGCTGCGGGCGGCGGTCCACCGGCCGGCGGTACGGTACAACGCGGCGCCCGGCTTGCAGGGCAAGGTGCGGCGGTGGGAGGGGGCGGCGGTCGGCGCGCAGCGGAGCGCCGTGGGGGAGCCCAGCGATGGTGCAGCAGGCGGAAAGCGCGGAGAGCGAGAGCAACCTGCCCCGAGAGGCGATGGACACCGAGGAGGGCGAGTTCATGGCTTGCAGCCCGGTGGCTCTGGACGAGAGCGATCCGGACTGGTGCAAAACGGCGTCGGGGCACATCAAGCGACCGATGAACGCTTTCATGGTGTGGTCTAAGATCGAGAGGAGAAAAATCATGGAGCAGTCGCCGGACATGCACAACGCGGAGATCTCCAAGCGCTTGGGCAAGCGGTGGAAAATGCTGAAGGACAGCGAAAAGATCCCTTTCATCCGGGAGGCGGAGAGGCTGCGGCTCAAGCACATGGCTGATTACCCCGACTACAAGTACCGGCCCAGGAAAAAGCCCAAAATGGACCCCTCGGCCAAGCCCAACGCCGGCCAGAGCCCCGAGAAGAACGCTCCCGGCGGCGGCAGCAAGAGCGCCAAGAGCTCGGGCAAGAAGTGTAGCAAGCTGAAGGCCGCCGCCGCCTCGCCCCCCAAGCCCGGCGCCAAAGCCGCACCGCACGGGGACTACGCTGGGGACGAGTACGTCTTCGGCGCGTTGAAAGTCAGCAGCAAGGCGGTCAAGTGCGTCTTCGTGGACGAGGAGGAGGAGGACGAGGAGGACGAGGACGAGCTGCAACTGCGGATCAAGCAGGAGGCGGACGACGAGGAGGAGGACGAGGAGCCGGGCCCGCAGCAGTTACGGCGGTACAACGTGGCCAAAGTGCCGGCCAGCCCCACCTTGAGCTCCTCGGCGGAGTCCACCGAGGGGGCGAGCCTCTACGAGGAGGTGCGGGGCGCGGCGGGCGGCGGCAGACTCTACTACAGCTTCAAGAACATCACCAAGCAGGGCCCGCCGCCGCCGCAGCCGCCCGCCGGCCTCTCGCCCGCCTCGTCCCGCTCCATCTCCACCTCGTCGGCCGGCAGCGAGGAGGCGGACGACCTCCTGTTCGACCTCAGCCTCAACTTTTCGCAGCACGGCCACGCCGCCGCCGAGCTGGGGGCGGGGGCCGCCGCCGGCAACCTCTCCCTCTCGCTGGTGGACAAGGATCTGGACTCGTTCAGCGAGGGCAGCCTTGGTTCCCACTTCGAGTTCCCCGACTACTGCACCCCGGAGCTGAGCGAGATGATCGCGGGCGACTGGCTGGAGGCCAACTTCTCCGACCTGGTGTTCACGTACTGAGCGGGCGGAGGCGGCGACGGGAGCGGCGGACGCCGGCGGTGGTGATGGTGGTGATGATGATGATGCTTAAAAAAAAAAAAAAAAAAAGTCTTCTTTAAAAAAAAAAAAAAAAAAAAATCCTGATGTTAGTTCCGAGCCCGGGAGTTGTGATTTTTTTATTTTTTTTTTTTAAATTTAATTTTTTTTTTTTTTGTTACATTTGGTGATCACAACAACAACAGCAAAGGCAAATGGGACTGGGGGAAAAAATGCTACAGAAGGCGCTGTTCGAAGCTTGGCGGTCTCTGATGGAAGGCTGGAAGATGGTCTGCGAAGAAGTCTTTTGGCAGCACAACTGTTACTCAAGGGGGTTTGTGGATTTTTTTTTTTTTTTTCCCGTGAGAGATCTTAAAAAACTGTTCTGATTTTTTTTTAATTATTTTTTATTTTCTCTGAAAGGGACCATTGCAACTCTTTTTTTTGGAGGGAGAAAACTGATGTCTTCTATGCATCCGATTCTTAACAAAGCTGCAGGGAGCTTGAAAAAATGCAGACTGTACAAACGCTTACAAATAACTGAACTGACTTAAGATCAGAGTTTACTTTTCAGATCAAATTGTTTATGGTTTTACAAATGTGATTTCTACTTGCCAACCTTTTTTTTTGTAACTTGTTCCCTTATACCTCCTTGATTGAATACCAGACAGCCTAGACCTCAGTACAAAAAGGTATTGAAACATTTTTGATACATAACAGACCTCAGTCTTTTTTAAAAATTAATATATTTTCAGGCGTATTTTTGTACAGTGAAAAGGGAACATTCTTGCTGTGTTTTTTCAGTAAGACTTTTCAGGCACTTCTTCCCTTTTATTTTCTTTTTTTTCCTCTGTTTTTAGCATGCAAGTTTGTTGGTACGTTACGTCCTGGTTTTAAAAGGATTAAAATTAAAAAAAAAAAAAAAAAA